AAATGAAAACTGAAAAGTTTACGAAAAAAAGGAAGATATAATAATTTCACCAACACTTTATTTATAATAATAATAATAATAACAACTGTGTTTCTTCGGCAAATTGTCAACCTCTGATAAATTATCTGGCATTTAAAAAAAGTATACCACAACGTGTGTATGAATACAATGATGATGACGACGACGGGGATTAAGTTACAGTTGCATCAATCATAAAGAAGGATACATAAAAATATCAGATTGATGACACTTGATAAGTTACCCACGCAACACATCATAAATTTAAATCAATTTTTAATGAATGGAAATAAAATACCTCCCTTCACGTCTTCAATACCCGACGTGCCCTAAACTAAAATATTTGTAGGAGAACCATAAAATAATCGTCGACGATAAAATTTATCGAGAATTTTCTGAGAGGTCCCTTAATATTACATACTGGAAGTACTGTATTAGTATAATTAAAAATGGATAGAGACACACACGATGTTGGAATTAGGAGTAAGGCATGTCTCCTTCCCAGATCCGTTACGTTTCTCCTTCCAACATTCTTCATAATTGGAATACTGCTTTAGACGTGATGTTACCAAAGTAGTAATTATGTAATTAGCAATTCATTGTTTTGACGAAATGAAGTAGAATTACAAAAACAATGTTGCCGGGGGGGGGTGGCATTCTCTCCACCGTCTCCCCACTCAGCCCCGGCCCCGGCCCTCTCCCAAAACCTGGGTTCGTCCTTCCGGCACACGAAGAGGTTTCGCGGGGCAGCGCGAGAGAGCGACGTCGCGGCTGAGTGTCCGCGCCGCGGGGGCGGGAGGGAGGGAGGAGGTAGCAGTGACGTGTAGCGTGAGAGTCCACGTGCGCGCGGGCGCACGTCTTCAGTCCGTCCGCACGCGTGGCGCGAGTCGCAGCGAAGGCGCCGGCGGCCGCCATCTCAGTGGCCGTGAGAACCGTTGCTCCCCCGCCGGGGCGCCGATCGCGGGCAGCCGAGGGGCCTGTGGGACGGTTGAGGAGCCGTGCACGCGGGTAGTTGCAGACGGTTGATTCCGTGACGAACTGCGTTCGCGTCTGTGAGAGGTTGGAAACAATGTGGACTCTGGTGACGCGATTGACCGGTTTGAGTGATCCGTGATCCAGTTATTCGTGGACACTGGTGATATATAGTGGACTTGGCAGACTGACGTGTTGTGGATGAGTTTTCACTTGATGGTAAGCTAAAAAGAAAAAAAAAGACAACAACAAAAATTAATTATCATGATATTGCAAAGTTACATTACATTATTGTAATAGTACAGTATTTTGCAAAGTTTGCAGTATTGCAGTTTTTTACAGTACATTACATTGCAGTTTGGACATTATATTGACGTTTGTTGGCTATGTTGGTTCTTAGCATGACAACAAAAAGAGTCGGTATTTGTTCAGTACAATTATAGTATTATTAATTTGTTTCTGAAAATGTGATATTACAGCGTTGACATTTGCTTTCAATGCTGAATTTCTGTAAGAATCAATTGCAAGCAAAACGTATCATCCCCCCCCTAACAGTTGTCATCAAGAGTGTTCGTGTGTCTTTCTTTGCTATTTAAATATTTATAAAATTTCACTCTCGTGACTGGAAACAAATCGTTTTTCTGCATATAATGACACTGATGTTTCAAATCTAATGATGAAAATGATGAAATTCATGTTCTGAATTCAAAAAGCTTTCTTTTCAAAATATTGAATGTTCACGTGCATGCCAATAATAAACATTGTGTATTAGATCTCCCAATCAGTGGTCTCCCCCCGGAGGTGGATAAAACTGGAGTACACACACAACGTAACTTAATTTTTCTGCCTTGGAAACTGTTACTAGATGTCATCTCGTAGATAGGGAGCTTTTCCTGAGGATGGTCCCTTCCTTGAAGGCGACGTGTTGTACTCTGAGATAAGGCACAGAAACACACACTGGACCCATTGATCTGCGCTCGGGGCAATATCAGAGCGATATGTGTCTTCCGCGCGAAGGTGACACAGGCAGGACTTAAACTCAAAGGTAACTCTCATCTCACGAGATGCGATCGCTGATCACAAACGAGGAAGATACTCAAGTCTTCCATTCAGCAGTAGTAGCTTAAAACAGTTTTGTGTCATTTATAACGTAAATTGGATAACTTTTCGATGTCAAATTTCCATTGTTTAAAAGGACTTACGACGGTCATTAGCGCAGATAACAAGCATTTTGATTTGTAACGTATTCTAAAATGCTCGAAATGAAGATTGTAATTCCATATTAATAAAACGAAGCTGTGTAATTTCAGTCATTTGTTAGTGAAGTGAAAATATCAATTTTATACTTCTATTGAAAGTTAATTTTGTATAGAGAAAATAAATTTCCTCAAAAAAAAGAAGCATGCGATAAGAATGGGGAAAAAATTAATCCCGTGCCAAGAACCAATCACGAGTCATTATGCATTGTTACAATATTACTTTTCCGACCGTACTATGTATTCTGGTCACCATCGTCTCGACTGATCTCTTCGCAATTCATCAAAGTGAAAAATACAAGTAAAATATATAGCATGTGAAACATCTTTCATATCGCTCGGCAGTGGCTTAAATAAGAGAACATATTTCAATGTAAGGTAGGTAACACTTTTCCGCTTCCGATTAACACTACAATATACTTTGAAGCACAATCATCGTACATGCTTTTCTGTTGACTGAACTTAAATTTGATTAAATCAAAATTTGTCTCATATAATGCAATTTCATCTCTTGAGATAACTTAAGTTCCCGCATTTACTTGTTTCTCCTTATAACTTTGAAATTAATAATTTTTCTTCTAGACGTAACTTTAATATGAAGTATAGTATCCGGTAGTTATAAAAGTAAGAAAATAATCTATTTCCTACAGGACTGATACATCTTTTTATGTACACATGCCATTTACAGCGATAACGCTGTTCATGTTAGGGCGACGCTTCCAGTAATCTCGTGATGTCAACAGAGACATCCGCGAGATGTACGTTCTATCGACTTTCCTGATTCGAAGGATATGACTGTCTTCCAATTCAGAGGGTCATGGAGTGTAATGGATAGCACTCACTTCCACTGCTAAGATTTACTTTGCCTACCATACATTCCACATAAATGGGAGTGAGATCGAACTCTTGAAGATTTTCGTGGGATTCTTGATTCCTCTTCCTTTCATTCCACATGCTTCATCATAATTATCGTCTTATGATTAGCTTAGATCTCTCTCATCTCTCATGGATCTTCTTGACAATTGGAGGGCCTCTAAAGCCCCATCGGTCTTCCAATTCGTGTAAACACGTGCTTTGCACGGATTTCATAACGCCAAATTACATTCGAATTTTCAATGACAATCTTCAGTCACTCGGTTTATCTCGTGTGTCAATTCATGAAGCATATATTGCTCAGATTTGTGTTTTATTATGAATCTTGAGAAAGGAAACCTCGAATTATTAGTATAATATCAGGCTTCATGTATAGAGTAATATTACCTAAAATTTATATACGAAATACTACATGGAAATAAAATTGTTCCTTCGATTATTTGAATTCATATAAACTGGAAGATCAAAATAAAAATGAGCCACAGCTAATTAGCTATTTATCTGGGATACGTGAAATCTGTATCGTAAGGGTCTGTGGAGTATTTCAGTGGTTATTACTGGCTGATCATTAATCAACTTAAAATTCAAATATAAGGTAACCAAGGTAATAGAGCTTCTCGAAGACACAAACTTGGACAAGAGACATTCTCAAAAAAAATAATAATATAACCATTTCTAAACTCCGTACTGATTCTTCTACTTAGAGGATTGCGTATCTCGAGTTTGAACTGAGACACACTGTTTATCTGAATTGGGTTTTTAAATTTATTTTAAAAAAAGTAGCTAAAATTGTACGGGACATCGAGGCATGTTTTGTTGAGCTCCAGAATCTCGAGACATGGCAAACGTTTGGGCAGTCATCGCTAGAACTGCCCAGTATCGTAAAACGCAGACAAGTCTCGACTGCCGAAAACTGACCAAAATACAAAGATAAGGTTTGATTTGCTTGAAAATGTGCATGGGAGAACCCAAGAGGTCGCAGATGTTAAAAGAAAAAAAAATCCGCGTGCGTGTCGCCAACGCGGCGCGTCGGGGGAAGAAAGACGCCCTGTGTGCGCCGGGCGGGTGGCCAGCTACGTCGCGCGGCCGGATATCACGACGCGGGCGATAAGGGCGGCGGGCGCTGATACAGGTGCGGAGCAAGGAAGAAAGTGGGCTTTATGCTCGGGGTGCGGCGCGGCGCTGAGATCGTATCGTATCGCTTCGTCAGGGAGTAGTGCCGCAGACAGCGCTACGACTGCCACGCAGCGTCGGGAGATCGCGTCGTATCGTTCCGAATCGCAGGAGCTATGGCGGCGTCGCAGAGGTAATGCGCATTTTGGTGGGTTTTTGTTTGGAGTGTGTTTGTGATGTAAACGCTCGGACAGTTGGGGTTGAAGTCAAATGTGTGAGAGACTTGCAGTGATTTTCGTATCGTAATAATTGGAGACCGACTAATAATAGTGAAAGTGAATTCACCCAAGTAAATATTATTATTATTATTATTATTATTATTATTATTATTATTATTATTATTATTATTATTATTATTATTTAGAGTATTTATTCGCCAAAATGTAGAGTATAAAGCATTACATTGTATCCCTTTTCCTCGTGCATCATGATAGTTCAAGGTTGCGTGTCATGATGCATCTGCTGTTCTGTTTGATTTCAATTGGCAGCGGGTAACTTTGCGTAAACTGTCGGTAAATTCTCTGCCATCTGAACATACATAGGGTTGTGTGACGTGTATACACAAAATAAAACTTTTGAGTCTTTCTCTGCGTATGTCAGAGAACCAAGCAAACAATCAGTGATTTCTAGGAGTAAAACGTAGCGACAAAATCGGACCGCCAATGACACTGAATGTGTGGTCCAATTCTGGCAATAAAATATTTTCGTAGTTCGTTAGCCAAGTTAGGAAAGAATTCACTTTATAAATTCCTATTCGTATTTCTACCGTAGTAAACAAAGAAACGCTGTTATTCGTAGTGCAATGGTAGTTTGTAATTTCAGGTACGTTAATTTCAAAATGAATCCATTCTCATCATATTACTCAGATATTTTTCATATCGGGTTTTCACTAAACTTTTTTCTTTGATTTAATTCACCAAACTGTCGTATCTTTATTCATATCTCTGACCCTAAGGTATTAGAGAATAGTTTCTATTGAAAATATAATATTCATTGTTTTTAGAATCTTCTTTTTGCGATAGTGTAGTTTTTGCGAAGTTAACATTTGAGAACGCATTTTATTGTGAATGTTATATTAACATTAAATAAATACTCTGAATAATAAAAGAAGTTCCATCTTCGAACCCAAGACACCATATCATCCCGATACTTGTTCGATTCTTCAACCTTGTTATAAGTTTTATCATGAAAACTAAAAATGCGATAGCAGCCTACTTCATTTCACTTCATATTATCAATCTTCAAACAATCCAATTGGCGTGAAGTTTTCCACTTGTGAATCTTTCCCACGGATATTTTGCTTTAATTCTCCAAATTATTGTGGACTTAAGAGTGTACTTCTTTTGGCTAGTGAATTTAAAAGAAGTTTGCTGAAGTCACAAGTAGATACATGGATTTTTTAATCATTAAAATTCATCTGCGTAATAGTTGAATTGAATGCTAGTTATGTTTTATGTAGTGTGTGATAAGAGGAAACAATAAAATACTAAAAACGAATTGACATGAATGTGGTTCTACGGCGTTTTTGTACGAGAGTATAGGGTCGGCAAATGCTTTGGATTTTACGTATCTGAATCGCTTCTTGCAAACAATGACGAGAATTCTCGGAAGTCTCTCCTGGGGAAAGCTATTACCCTCTGCATCTCAGATGCATTCTTGTCGTACGTTGCTGGGTATGACAATGAGCGTTAAATTGTCGTGAAAACAAACAAAACGTCATTTACATTAAATTTTCTCTTCTTTTTCAGCCAAATGTATTCCCGTAACATTTACTCCAGTGCGATGACGCCGTACTTAGCTACAAGCTCCGCATCCGATGTGTCGGGTCAGAGCATGTGGACATCGCAAGGTATTTATTTATTTATTTATTTATTTATTTATTTATTTATTTATTTGTCAAAAACTGAAAATTGTATGTGGGGGGGTGTGTGGGAAGATTATATATAATATTGTATGTAGCAAGGAGTAAGGAAGATCGACATGGGCTGTGAATGAAATTACAGTATTTCAGACCACAACACACATCTGTTTCATCTTTTTCTATGTTGAAGTTCGATAAATCAGTCTTCCAAAAGTTGTAATGGCCAGGATATTGTCTTGGATCGACCGGGAATCGAACGCGGGGCCGAGTAGCGGAAAACGAGCACGCTGACCAAGAGCACATACAAATGATGTAGAGAGGGCAAATTGAAAATTCGGGAATAATAACATTTCTTGTCATTTTATCACTTAAATGTGTAATTCAACATTTTTTGACCTGCAAAAGAGTAGGTTTTAAACAGAATTAGTTTATTGTGCCCGAATGTATTGATATTACCCTTTGTTAAAAAATTAAGAGGAATGAAAGGCATACTTAGCATAACTCGGGGTTGATTACTTATTCCAATCACTGGCGAAAATATGAGAATCACTTTCATAATTTCGAGTAGGAAGTTAATTACCATATGCACACTGATGTAACATCATACAAAGTACGGTATGTGTCACAGGATTAAAATAATGTCAGTTGCTTGAATCTACAGTGTTTGTGCCTGCATCCCTTTTAATACTCTTGTGATCTTGAACTGTGAAGAAGCGTCTGATTATGTCGCGTATCTTCTAAGATAGAATCCTGCGCGGCTGTAGGGAGATGCAAAAAAGAAAACATCCTTGTAGGAAGAGATATGATGAGAGGCTTGGCTTCTCAGAGGGCGGCAGAGCCTACTGGACCACAAAATGTTATATGGCGAAACATAGGAAAGCTGTGGACTCACGGGAAGTTCCTGTTCTCTTTCTGTAATTGCGAATTAACATTGCGTGAGTAAAGAAAAATATGTAAGAACAATAAAAAAAAAATTTAAAAAAAGTTCAAGGTCAACTCGATGTCTGGGAATTGAGGCAATTAGTTTGAGACACCTGGCCGTACAGAATGATATAGCTCTATGAAAAAATTATGCTGCGATTGAAAATAATGTACCTAGAGGGCGGAATTTGCTTTTGTATGGAATATTTAATTTAATTTAATTTAATTTAATTTAATTTGGAGCCTTTACACCGATTAATTACACCATTTGTTTGTAAGCCACGTATTACTAAATTTGAACATTCTACACTACACAATACTAACTGTATATTTTAAGAGTGACGTTTATGTGCCACATGAGTAAATGTATTATTACAACAGGCGTTAGGATGTTAGAAAGGGTGTAATAATGCCGTCACAAAGTAATATAGACGGAAGTATTATCCTAATGTTAGATACCTAGTCATGTCATTAACACCCTCTCCCCTCTTAGGATAACATTTTCAAAGAGTAACGCCAATAAGGTAATTCGTAAGGTGATATCCTGGGCGCTATCTAGCCAACTTTTGTATAGTAATTCTCTTTACTGCATTTGAAACAAGTCGGTGCTTTGCAGCCATGATCTAATCAATTCCTGAAACTTGGAACGGAAAACTTCCGACAGGGCTTTGTGTTTTCTTTGCTGGCAGCGCCGTGTCTCGCGTTTGCTCAATGATAAGAAGGGTCCGTTGCTTCCCCTCCGATCGGTTCATCTCCTTCGAACCAACAACCTTATCAAGCGTTGGGCTTCCTGGCGGGCGACACAGCCCTGCGTACACCTGGATGCCTACCTATGCTGCTTATTGAAAGACTTTACAGATGAGGGCTGGAGTGATTATTGATTTCGGACGCGGCAACTACTTGGGGCATTAGTCGCTAGGTGTAGTGAAGGTGGCCACTTTTTGGATGACATAAAAACATCAGGGAACTTGTAAAATAATCGTTAGTCAACAAAAAAATTACAAAGGCTCGTAAAACTAGTTAAGATTCATTAAAACATTAGTGCACGTTTTTGCTGAAATTTTATTTGGTGAAAATGTTAGTTTGTACTTTCTCATGGCAAAATTAGATAGCCGATCAATCAGTATCAGACTGGTTTTAATATTTTCTTTAAACAGTGTGAAGTTAAAAATCTTATTAGATTGATAATTAAAAGATACAAAAAAAATCTACTGAAAATCTGGGAATAGAGAGGGAAATTTGTTCCAGGCAAAGAGTGCACGTTACATGCCAAGGAGTGAGGAGGTGGTTTCCTCCCTCACAGGAACGTGGAAGTAGCGACTAGTGATCGGTGATAAAACATTAATGTTTAAAATACATCGACCAAAAGCCATTGATGTTTCTCAACATCAGACTGGATTAGTAACCTCTAACATTAAATCGTGTGTATTAAATTTAATTTTTGACAGTGTTTGTTTTTTATCAATTCGCCGAATAAGGGCACGAGAAGAAGGGGAAAACCGTACGCCCACAGCGTATTTGTTGTCCTTATATCCGGAGTGCATGAACATAATCTGGAGTTATGTTGAGAGCAGTGGCCAGGCATTGATTATCAAAGCAATATCTTCTAATAGTAAGTCCTTTATACCTTTTAGATAAAACTCCTTGACTCACAACCCCGTAAGCGTACTCTTTCTTGATATGGAACCAGAATTTCACAAATCCGTAAGATGTTAGCCTACTACTTCTCTTTTTGCCTCGCAACTTCGTACCTGCCTGATTGCCCGTTTGCCTATGTGCTTGGCCTCTTGACTCGCTCACTACTACCTTCTAGTACCTGCCAGCATTCCAGATTCTGTCTACCTGCCAATCGTTGTCCGCTACGTTGTCTGACACACGATTTGCGATGCGTGATTTGCGTATGCGCCCTGGGTAGCATTTCGACATTTCGGCATGCGGCATTTCCCAGCTATCCGCGTGCGGTAGTCCGATTTAAATAGAGTAGCTCTTCAAGGTCACTACATGGATGGAGAGGGGGGGTCACTGTCATCCAATCGGGAGCTTCGTTACGACTTATTGTTGGTATGGGAACTGCCGATTAGATGTCCTCCTTGCCTTCCTACTCGTGACCTTGAAGTGCCACTCTATTCTACATAAATCAGTGTATTTGCCAATCGTTCCCGACTGGGCGCGCGCCTCTTCTGTAACTTAATCTCGTCTTGCAGTCAGAAAAGGAACACATTTGCTTTTTCTTTGAAATGGGTGTTCCGATAGAGTTTGAGTAATCGTTAAAAAAATTGTATACGTGAAGATTGATTGGAGAAGCACCGCTAGCTAACACTGACAAAATGACCTTACGGATTGACGAACGTCTGAGTTGACTTACGACCAGAGAAATCCGATGAGCGATGTTCTTTTTCTCACTCACACTACCCTCCCGCACTATACACCCTCAAGCCAAGCGTGCTCAACGCTCTGCACCACGTGTCCACAAGTACTATCTGCTTCCTCGTTGCCATTTACCTGCAAAGTCTGTTGGCTGCTTGTGACTTGTTTTTTTTCCACTTCTATCTACGCGAACAGATGCCACAACAGCCCAATTTCGCCCTCGGAGCCTTTTAGCAGGCAAAGGGCTGACCGCAATACATTTGTCTCTCCAACATTCTTGACTTGGAGGTTCTAGATTTTAAGTCCCGACAATGGCAGATTTTCGACAGTTCCGTTCCTCATAAGATTCTGATGTAAACGCAGTTTTCGGATTGGTTTACCAATGGTGAATGCGAGCATTGCTGGAGTCGGATTTCTGACGTGAAACTAAATACTGTAGATCTCGGCTTCCGAGATTTTTTTCTAATATTGTCAGAAAAGTTAATCAGGCAGAGGAACCAGTTACACTGTTGACCATAATGTCCATTGTTATTGGAACGCGAAATGTCGGGTAGGTTACTAGCCGCTGAAGGGTAAGTTTTCTAAACTATTCAGAGATTGTGCTGCCTCAACGTTGAGCCGGCGCGTGTGGAATTGCCTGCGAAAGTCGTTTTAATTTAGAATGTCTGAGCGTCGCAGTTTTCTCATTAAATGAAATGCGTTCGGGAAACCCCAATATCGGACGTACAGGGAATCCAACCACTCCCAAATGCAGTATGTAAATGGGTTCACATGTACATAACGTTTGAAAGAAGATCTTTGTTAAGCTGAACTCACGGGGTCGACTCCTTGTATCTCAGTTATTGCGTGAGGTGTTAACCAATCAAAAGCACAATACCACGCAAAGATTTCCGTATTTCTTTTTTTACATAAGGATTTTTCTAACGGTAAGAATGAACGGATAAAAGGCTCTGGAGGAGAAATATAAGTACCGGCTGCTCAAATCGGTAGTTTTCTATGCTTTCTTCGCTCAATTTCAGGTGAAGGTAGGGACAGAACACTAACATGGACCACGACACTACATGCGTTTTTTCTTCCTCGGCATTATTCCTTTTCTCTACTCATTGCACTACCTCACTTGACGGAGACTTGTTTTTTTTAATTGATTATTCCGGGCACGTCAACGGCTAAGGTCATTACTCCCGTAAGTGTTGTGCATTTGATTTTCTCGGGATTTGGCCCGCCTAGATGGAGAGATCCGGCGTTGGCCTACTGTCGGCTAGCGACGTTTTCTCCAACCAGGTATCTCCCATCAGCGGTGCACAGCCCCAGCCAGCACAAAATCTCGACTGGTCTCCCGCCATATGTAGTAGTGTAGGCATGTGAGAGTAATGTGCAAATAAGGGTTGAGGATAGGACATGGAAGAGGAAGGAAATACCGCGCCCGGTCCGTGGCTCGTTTGTTAGGGTACTGCCCCGTCATACGCCTGCTGTTGATTAGGAAAACTATTGTTCGATTTATTTAGTCGTGCATATTGGATTGGATGAAGCCGTGAACAGCTGATTTACGTAAAGTGCACGATTAAATAAATTCTACAGTACGATAAACAACCGAAGTCTTAGCTTGCCTGGGTGAAGTGTGGGGGCGGTACCAGCTGCCGCGCCCTCTGGTCAATAGTTGACGCGCACAGATTCATCCTGATTCACGCGGGCAGGAGAA